TCGAGGAGTTAACATCCCTAAGCACTCCTAAACTGCAAGTCTGCGACTGACAAGATTTTTGAAACTGGCGGCCATGACAACTTGCTTCTTAAACAGCTGTTCAGACTGGGGGGGGTCAACCGGGTTTTGGCCGCAGAGCCGAAGTTAATGTTCCCTTTTTTCATTCGATAACTGTTGTCATCGCAACTCCACATAGGCGACTCCCCAAAGAGGTGCTCAGGGCTAAAGTTTCTAGCTGCGCATCCTCTGAAGCTGGCGACCCAGCCGTGGGTTTAGGGCTTGGGGCGTTCAGCGGCTTTAAGGTTTCGGACTCAACCCTGCGCTTTAACCAGGGCTTGAGGGTTGAGGGTTGGGATGTGCACTAACAGTCCTTTATAGGGATGTACCCCCTTGCTATAATCCATACTGGGGACCTAAACCCTAAACCCTAAACCCTAAACCCTAAACCCTAAACCCTAAACCCTAAACCCGAGGAGGAATCTAAAGCTTCCAGCAGGGCCAAAGTGCTGAGCTGCGCCGATGTTTCCTTGGCTCGAAAAGTGATCCGGCGGTCTGGCAACTTTGGGGGCGTAGGGCTTACTGTTTTACTTCTTATCTTTGATAATCTTCTCATATGACTATGATGAGTATTAGTATTCTGGTTATTACGGTTATTAGTGTTTGTATATTTGTTTGATTGGGGGGGGGAGGGGGTTTAGGGCTTTATGTGTTTCATCTTTGCTATTGTTTTCAGGCCAGGGGGGGGGTTGGGGTTGAAGGGGGGTTAAGGGGCTACAAGTCACTCTACCTTGGAAAAATTTGGGGCCCTTCTTAAGGATCACCCGAAAGGAATAGAGAGGACATTCTTCTTCGTATCAGGAGGAGATTCAGGGAACCCTTCAGGGGTTTATGGGTTTTGGGGGGGTTTCTTACTTGCCCGAAGGCTCCCAAAAAAACCTCTACAGGGAATGCGGGGGCACCAACACGGTTGCAATAGCCCTTGCTTGTGGTATCTAAGCATCTATGTACTACCGGGGCTCATCGCAGCTGATCAACATACCTGCTTTCCCTGGAAAAAAACCCCATAAGAACCCTGAATAACTTCCCAAAACGGACCTTTGCATCCTGAGACCCATAAATCCTAAACCCTAAACCCTAGACCCTAGACCCTAAACCCTGATGTGCAGTCTTTCCTGAAGAAGCTACCGGTGCACCTTTGGAATGATGCCACGGGTCTTTCCCCAAAATGGGGCACCCCTTATATCCACTCTAAAGAACACCCCCCCTCCCCCCTTCCCGTATTGGGGGTTGTACAAACCCTAAGCCCTACAAACATTGGACTTATTTGGGGCCATATAAATCCTAAAACCCTAAAAGCTAAACATTAAGCTTGGGTAGCATTTCAACCCTACAATCCTAACAATCCGGAAAACCTGAACAATAAGCTTTTGGGGGGGGGGGGGGGCATATACACCCTAAAACGCAAAAAACCCCTAAACCCCACGAACATGAAACCTCCGTGGGGGCATTTCAACCCTAAAACCCTTAAAACCCTTCAAACCCTTGAAGCCCTAAAGCCCCCAACAATCCTACAAAACCCTCAAAAATCACCAGAAACCTACAAACCTAAAGCCCTCAACCCCTCCCCAGAATCCTCAACTCTTCTGGGCCGGGCTAGAAACCGAAAAACCTAAAACCCTAAACCTCCCTAAACTCTTCTGGGCCGGGTCGCGTAGAGCTTCCAGGCCACCCCGGCTGCGGGCCCGGTAATCGGGCCGATGATGGGCAGGTCGAAGGCCGCAGAGCCACCTGCGTAGGGTTTAGGGTTTATAAGGCTGAGGGTTTGGGGTTTAGGGGATGTTGGAGTTTGGGGGGTTAGGGGTTCGGGGGTTTATGCAAGATGTCATCGGACGTCCCATGCGAGAAGGACGCAGGAGGTCCTTGGCGAAGAAACCAACGACCAGTTGACTCAAGAAAACTAAGGAATCACCGCCTTCGCTGTCTGTGGCGTTGGTAGTATACATTCCACAGAACTTGTTTAGGGGTTTGGGGGCTAGGTTTTTGGGGGCTTCAGAGCTTATATAGAGTCAGGTACTCCTCATCTGAAAGCCCAAGCCCTAAGCCCTTAAATCCTGAAACAAAACGGGAAGATGTTCTTAGGAGGGAGCAGTGTGGCTTCGGTGTTCCGTCGTGGGCTTCAGGCGGCTCCAAGTTTGGTGTTTCCATTTTGTTGCCGGAGGTCTAAACATGCAGGGAAGAGGTTGCCCAAGTTGGCAACAGTTTCGGGGTTGGTTGCTTTGCATTTTGGGGCCTCCTGTCTCTGGAGATGTTGCATACTAGGTGTGGGACTCGGGTTCCTGACCTTCTAGCAGCACACCTCAAGCTAGGGGCAAGCACGTGAGCTGCATGAAGCCTTGAAGGCTTATGAACGAGTTCCAGAGAGCACGAACGCAAAGGGAATGAACAAGGCGCCCTAAACCCTAAGCCCAGAGCTCTAAGCCCTAAAACCTAAACCCAAAGCCCCAAAAGCCCCAAGCCTCCCAGGTAGGCGAGGGAGCCCTTGTGGAAGTACGTGAAGGGCCCTGAGGACTGCGCGACGTCCGTGAAGCTGTCGATCTCGCCGTCTAGGACCGCCTCAGCTTTCGGAGTCGGGAGTCTCAGAAGCTTTAGGGTGGAGGAGTCCACCCTAAACCCCATAAACCCTATAACCCCTATAAACCCTAAACCCTATAAACCCTATAAACCCTAAAAACCCTAAAAACCCACAAAACCCTCAAAACCCTAAAACCCTAAAAACCCTAAAAACCCTAAAAACCCTAAAAACCCTAAACCCTAAACCCTAAAACCCCGAAACCCTAAACCTTGGTTCAGAGCTTTGGGTTACTAGGTGGCCCCAGGAACGTCGCAGCTCGGGTTCTTAAGGGTTTATGCCAAGAAGTGCTGGGTCTCGGTCCTCCAATAACACTAGAAATACCAAGAAGGGTGCCTTTGTCTTTGCAAGGAACCAATAAGGGAAGAAGGGTCCTACCCGGCATCCTGCATCCTCGGTAATCAAACTCAGAATGTGTGAAGAATTCAGGCCTTACTAAACTAAACCCTGAACCCCGCACTTATGCCCACCTGCCCTGCCCCCGACCCCCGCGTCCACCCCCCCCCCCCCCCCCCCCCCCCCCCCCCAAATAGCAGGCACATGCGGTCTATTGGAGCAGTTGAAACCCCAAGCCGCGACGCTCTGACTCCAAACCCTCAGTCAAACACACTTACGCCGCCTTAAATCCGAAACACGACCCTAAACCCTAAACCTCTGTCAGACTCCCAAACCCTGAGCGCAGGCCTTGTCGAACAGACCGGCCAAGTACTTGCCTGCTGGTGGTGCGGCCACGACGGGCTCCCTACAACGAAACAAAATCCGCACAAACCTGCATTCCGTATGTCCTCGTGAACCTGAACCCACATTCCCAAGCAGCATTGACAGCGAACCCTCGAACGCACGCCTGTAAACTCGGCGTTTCGCACCCTGAACTACCCCGACTCCGGCCTTGTTGGGCGGCCACCTGTGCCGGAGATGTTTAGGGCGCTTTAGGTTTAGGGTTTAGGCTCCGACAGGGATCCCACGTAGTGGAACATTGTCAAGACCCTACATAAAATGCCTGGTAGTCTATGCTAAATATGGGTAGTCTTATGTTCATAAATTAGCTAGGCTCCTGCATTGCAGCTGCGGGACGTGCCTGTAAAAACTTTTGGCCACGCAATCTCAAGCTACATCGCAGCGCTAGTCTTCACCATGCCAACATGTTTCGGATGTACAGACTGGTGGGTTGAAAGAGCATAAACCCCAAGCCCTAAACTGGAGGCTTTAGTCGAAAAAGGAAACAATAGTGGAGTCCCTTCGCAATGGCGAAAAGGGATCAGCTTCGCAGGGACAAAAATGGTCTCTGCCTTTGGCACTCTGGGCGTGCGGGGGGGGGGTGGGGGTACGATCCCCAAAGCTTATCCCAACCTGATCCCTGCACCACCCCTAAACCCCCAAACCCCAAACCCCTGAACCTCTAAACAAAAACCCCAGACCCCTGAAACCCTACACTCCTAAACCTCTAAACCCTTAACACCCTTAAAATCCTTAGAACCCTTAAAGCCCTAAACCCTAAAGGCCTACTAAAGCCCTGGAGCCCTAGAGCCCTAAAGCCCTAAAACCCTAAAGCCTAAAGCCCCCAAACCACTGAACCCCTGAAGAAGCTAAACCCCAGCCCTAAACCCTAAACCCTAAACCCTAAATCCTAAACCCTAAACCCTAAACCCCAAACCCTAAACTCTGAACCCCTAAACCCCTGAAGCCCTGAAGCCCTGAAGCCGCAGAGCTTGGCCTGAGCGGTGGGCGGGAAAGGCTGGAGGTTGCTATCGATGCGCTCCAGCAGGCCCTTGAACTCCTGGAGCCCTAAACCCTAAACCCTAAACCCTAAACCCTAAACCCTAAACCCTAAATCATCTGCTACTTGGAGGTTCATGAGTAGTTTAGGGTTTCGGGGTTCGCGTTTAAGGGTTTAAGTCCTGCTTGGGGTCTTGAGCAGTGCTTAGTTGGGAAGCAACCACGACTCAGACGAATCAGTCCTTTTTTTTTTTGGGGGGGGGGGGGTAAGGTACTTATAACAAAACGTGAATCCTCAAACCCTCAACCCTAAAGCCCTTGTGGTCTGGGAACACCCCCCCCCCCCCCCCCCCCCCACCAGCTGAATTGCAGGCCCCAGACACCGACTTCAACTTTCCAGGCCCCTTTCAGCTTTCGGGGCCCTTGGCTGCGCCCCCCAAGATGTTTCCCTAAACCCTGAACCTTAAACCCTCAACCCAACCATTCGAGTTTAGGGTTTACGGTTTAGGGTTTAGGGCTTAGGGTTCCCCAAGACTTGGGGGGATCCAAGATCCTGGGATAGTGGCCCTCGACATCCAACCGGTGCACCTTCGCCCCACCAGATCCTCATTGTCATCATTACTATTGTTTTGATTGTTGTTTTGATGGATATTTTTTAGTGGTAAGTCACCTTCCTCAACCTGTCCTCGAGGTCGAAGACTTTGTTCTTATTGGCATCGGCCTCCGTGAAATCCTTGGGGGAGGACAGGGCTTACGGATTTGTATGACTATACTAGTATGATTATGATGAGTATGATTTTTGTCATGTTTTATCAAATCTTCATATACTACTACCCGACGGAGGGAGGGATGGCTGCTGGGGCTTCAGGGGTGTAAGATTCGGGCTCTTTGCCTCAATGAACAAACAACCGCGCAACACTTCTAAAATGATTCAGACTCTTTGAGAATATAACATGCGATCAACAGCGAGAAGAGAAATCAGGACTCTGAGTTCTGCCTTGCCAATGCCCTCACCAGTTTGCGACTCGTCCTGCTTGAATGCTTGAACATGGAGATAAACAGACTGATTCCTCAAAGGCTTAAAGGCAGCTCCCCGAAACGAGCGAACCTTTTAACTCTTGAATCCAAACCTGGGCCCTCGACCCTAAGGCCCTAGGGCACTAAACCATCAATCCCCAATATGTGTCCCCCCCCCCCCCCCCCCCCCCAAAAAAAAAAAAAAAAAAAAAAAGCAAGCTGCCTCCTCGACTGCGGCGGTCCCCTTCCTTTCAGGAACTGTGCGGATGCAAGTTCGGCAGGGGGCAGGGTGTAAGCTCAGAGCAACATGGGGTTTTCCGACCCTAGACAGCCCTGAACCCTAAACTCCTTTTGGGGTATATATGGGGGGGGAGCCCCAAGGCGTCTCGGCTTCAAGCTTTTAGCCCCGGGTTTCGGCTGGCCGTCGCCCTGAGCTGCCCTGGGCTTCTGTGGCTGGTTTGGGTTTGTTGGGTTTCGGTTCCGGGCTTCCCTCGTGTTCGTTCTGGGGTTGCCTTTGCCGGGGCTGAGGTCTCCGTTTGGCTTTGGGTCTGGTTTCACGGTTGTTGGTTCGGTTGGTTTAGTTTCAAGATTGTCATCGGCTGTGGGTAATACACCCAGCACAAAGCGAGCGAACGCTGCAAGCCAAGGAAGGAAGGGGGGGCCCCAATCTGCAGAGGTGCCGACATTGTAGGGTTTGCGTTTAGTGCCAGAGCAGGGTGCCGAAAGGTAACTTAGATGTCCTAAGGCTTGAGAAAGCATACCATCGTGACACAATACCCAACACCAGGTTGCTTAGAAATCTAAAGCTAAGGTGCCCTTTCTGGGGTTAGGGAGGAAAAACACCGAATAATGGAATAGTCGGCATCCTCGCGCATCATGAAACGCCCCATTCAACGGACACTCACCAACATCTTTTGGGAGCCCGATATACGCTCACCACTAACAGAAATACAAGAAATACAAGCCCTACAACCATACTAAACTTTCTAAACCCTGAGCCTCATGTAACCTACCTACTAAGCCCCTTGGGGCTTAGGTTTGTTGGCCCACGGACGAGCCCCAAACCGCGAATCCTCAAGGCCGATACCTACCGGAACCCTTGTATAAACCCCGGGGTTTAACTAGGGCTATCAATTTTTTTTGTAGTGAAAGGGATGTGGCCGACGGAAGGGGTTGTCTTGAGTAGGTCCAGCGGCCCTAAACCCAAGGCCCCAAACACCCAAAAACCCTAAACCTAAGCCTCCAAAGGGTGCAAGCCACCCTAGGGTTTGGGGTGTAGGGTTTAGGGCTTAGAGTTTAGGGTTTAAGCCCCAAACCCGAAACACTGAACACCAGGATGCCTCTTGGTCCGATCCGAGGCCCGCTGCGAGACGAGCTCTTTTGCCTCGCTTCGCCAGTGAGTGGGCTTACGCTGCGCTAGGTGCTCTGGGCTGCGGGGGTGGACTCCCAAAACCTGACACACCCTAAGCCCCCGCCCCCGAAACCCTAAAGCGTTAAACTCTTGGCCCCCAAGCCCCTCAACCCTAGGGTGTACATCAGCCTAAACCCTAAACCTTAAACCCAAAACCCTAAACCCTAAACCCTGGGGCGTACCCCTAACGGGGTTAGGTTTGAGGGTTTAGGGCTTTTGTGAACCCTGGGCTTCCCAACAAAACCGGAGCTTGAAGCTGCCAGCATTAAACCCCGAACTCTTCGAGGGGTTTAGGGTTTAGGGTTTAGGGTTTAGGGTTTAGGGTTTAGGGTTTAGGGTTTAGGGTTTAGGGTTTAGGGTTTAGGGTCATTGGTAGTTTGTGGTTCATTGGTAGTTGTTTAAATATGTTTATAAGTACACCAATAGGATCAGAATCAGTTCTGTAACTTCACTTACCCTACTTGCAAACGTCCGTTATACCGAGCAATGAACCTTCCAATCGTGAGCCTATTGCGGGTGCCCTACATTCAACAGGGCGTGTTTTTGTAACATGAGCCCATGATAAACAAAACATGAAGCACTCGGGTGGTCGAACTTTCCCAGAAGAGGGATTTAAGGACGGTTTTGGGCTTGGGGTGTAGGAGGAAGGAATGGCGTAGGCTCAACAGTGTCGGGTTCAGGTTTTCAGGTTTTGGTGCTATTTAGGGTTAAGGCTTAGGCGATTTCGGGTGATGGGTTTGAGTCTGAGGATTCAGGAATGAACCCTAAACCCTACAAACTCAACCCTAAACCCTAGACCCTAAACCCCTAAACCCTAAACCCTAAACCCAAGCCTTCTTCCAGGCTTGTCGCTCACCTTGGCACAAGAGCAGGAAGCACGCAGGACATTGCGATTCAAGTGTGGGGGCTCTGGGTTCGATGGCTTGGGGTTTCGGGGATGCAAACCTCTGAGGGACTTCGGGGATTAGAGGGTCTAGGATTTAAGAAAACTGAAGGCAATTCAGGGTTGGGCTAGGGCTTGAGGAAATGAATTTTGGGGTAGGGCTATTCCTTTCGAAAGCTGCCCGAGTCCGTAAAATCGAGCCCAGCCCCATAAAAGAAGGAAGTGGGCAAGAGCAGCGGCTGAGAACATCATCTTGAAATTCAGCTTTGCTGCTGTGGATACAGCTTCGGTGGATACACCCTCTGAGGGTTTAGGGGGCTTAAGGTTTGAGGGTCTAGGGCATGTTTATGGTTTGCGAGAACAGCGTGGCGAAATCGAAGGAGGCCTGGCAGAAGGGAAGGCACATTCAACAATGTGTATCCGCTACAGCTGCGAAGAACGAACATGAGGTACTCTAGAAAGATCGAAGTCTTTCAAAGAAGGTAACTGCGAAATGGAGCAAATGGCTCCCTCCACGACATGATCTTTTGCGGGCAAAGCCCTGCGCAAGACGCGAGCCAACCCCGAAGACTAAAGCCGCGCCCAACCGCCGAATCTAGCGGCCTGAATAATTAGAACAGAGTTTTGGGGATTATCATAGTAACTCATAGTACATTTAATAAACTCATATGAAGTAACCATACGGGAATACAAGTAGTAACTAGTCCGACCCCTATATTCGACCCAAACCACCTTTGACAGGGGTCGTAGGGCGCTTGCAGAATGATGGAAGGCAGTTGGGGGGGGGTTCTGGTAGACCCCAACCCCAAACCGCACCCTAAGCCATATACCCCGAATGTTAACGTTAAGCTGCTGAACACCTAAAAACCCTCAAGACAAATTCGAGCCCCAATCCCTTAACCCTATAAACCTCACACAAACCCCAAAACCCTAAACAACAAAAACCAAAAGCCCTTAGCTCCGAGCGTTCCAAGGCTGCTCCAAAGACCTTGGCGATGGCGTTGACCCGAGGGCCCTCGTCCTGGGGATAAGGGGAGGTTTAGATGGGGGGATGAGGGCGTTTCGGGGTCAGGTGGGGGGATGAGGGGGTTTAGGGTCCTTGAGGTTTAGGGTTGCAAGGTTTAAGTTGGTTCCCTTTAGTTCAAAGCGGAATCCTTCCTGAAAGGGAACCTGGCATACGCATTATTTTGGGGACAAGTATTTTGAACAACTACCAAGAACTATCATGTCTTTGTGGCTTGGGGGGCTTCGGGATTTTTGGGGAATGTCGGACTTGTGTGGGATTTCGGCACAGAAGCCTGAATCCATCGCTCCAAAACCGCAGGCGCCCAACTCCAAACCCTTAGACCCTAAACCGATCAACTTGGCACCCTTCAGGCCCATGGCACTCAAGCCCTAACTCGTCCTGACTACTCTCCACGCACCTACTTGTACTTAAAAAGGAGGGCTAAGTCAAAACCCCAAGGCTCGAAGCAGAGAAACGGTGTTCATAGCAACTGCGCTTGGGGTTTTTGACTTTCTGGGTGTCTTCCCCCTACAAACCCTGCAGTTGGTAGAGACATGGGGCTTAAGGGCAGGTTTTATAGGGTTTACGGCGTTGATGGGCCTTAAGAAGGCTTCATATTCAAATAGGAACCCTGAGCGGGTATTTAAGCAGAGGTTAAGAACCTTCATCACTTCACACCTAGGCCCAAACGACAAGCCCGAGGCGTGTGCTGTCGAATACTTGCCGGCCTTCTTGGGGCCCAATTTCAAAAAAGGTTTCTCTGCAAAGGGGGTTCTAGCTCAGGGCAGAAGCCCCATCTTACCCAAAAACCCAAACCCAAAACCTAACTGTGATAAAGCCATCATCTTCCCTACTGTTGGTTGGCAGGGAATGAGGAAATTAGGGCCCTATATACACCCTTTAAGGGACTATATAGCGCCCATTCCTCCTAAACCCTAAACCCATTGCCTCATTCCCTCATTTCAAACTCACAGTAATCTTCGGGGTGTCCTCCACGGCGGCAGACAAGTACTGGGCGTACTCTTCCAGCTGCGGGAACTCATCCGAGGCGCCCTGCTGGTGTGAGGCTTAGGAGCTTAGGAGGCTATAGGGTTTAGGGTTCAGGGTTGGGGATCCAGGCTTGAGGGGTTTAGGCTGTAGGATGGATTTACCTTCTGTGTTGCGGGGCAGCTTCCACTTTTGTCTAGGTGAGAGCAGCCGGACGGAAACTGGCTGGCCAGTGCAGAATCTCAAGACGAAGGCTCTACGAAGTATTCAACACCCTTGGGGCGTAACCCTTAAAAGACATTAAGGGATATGGGAAGTTCCTTCCATATAGTCTCCTTTTATAGGTTAAGTGGTATGGGTTTGGGGTATGTTGAATGATTCTTAGAACGGCTCAGTCCAAGAGAGCCACTTCGGGGGACTGTTGGGGGGCCACATGGAAGTACAAATTGCCCCGACGTGCTGCGCTGCAGCGCTACCCAAATCCCGGCAAGCAAACAAAAACTATACTGCTACTTTTCTTAAGAACCACCCAAAAACCAAAAATAGAACAAAATCCCTATCTTGCCCTTCTAAGGAGGATCATTTTTCATGTTTGAGGGGGAAGGCTTCTTAAGAGAAATTCGTAATAAAGTGAAGACCCCGAGTCGACCTGCCTGAAAGAGGTCCCTCAGCTCTGTCAGGGTCAGGTCGCCCGACTTGTCGAGGTCTGCGGCCTGGAAGAGCCTCGTTGTGGTGAGGAACGGAGGGTTTAGGGTTTAGGGTTTAGGGTTTGGGGTTTAGGGTTTAGGGTTTAGGGTTTTTCTAACGTTAAAACAACCCTAAATGCGACGAAGGGCTTGTTTTAACGTTACAAAGCCCTAGATGTGGTGAAGCATGAAGTATGTCAAAAGGCTTGACACGGGGGAGGGGGGGCGGGGGGAGGAGGAAGGCTGGAAACTGTGTACAGGGGTTAGGGCTTAGAACGTAAAGATAAACCCCAAACCTGAACCTAGAACTCTAGGGTTTTCGGGATCGATGAACCTCCCTGCAAAACCAACGTGTTGAAGGGTTGCTTGTGTCATTGCACACACACACACACACCCACACCCTGGGAAACAGGTGCTCTTCTGGCAAAGGGGCACTTCCAACTCCAACAGAATTGGGGCAAGAAGTGGTCTTGCTGGCCGGGCGAGTGGGGGAAATTACTTCCATCTCGGACAAGGGGGCGCCAAGCTTGCCGAGTCTTCGTGCTGCGGAGTTAACCCTAAACCTTAAACCCTTAGACCCCTGGATCCCCGAGCCCCTAAGCTTTCCGTTCTTGCTTTCAGGGTCTATAGGAATTCAATGAAGACTGCTAACCCTTTTTAAAATAGGCGGGCATTTTGTGGTTTAGGGTTTGGGGTTTATAGGACTTAGGGTTTAGGATCTACAGGGGGCTCCAGTGTCTCATGTTCCCCAATTGCAAGGAGAGGGGGCTGATCCGCGTAGGGAGACGTTCGCTCGTGGCGGACGCTGGCGGCATCGCCGAGTGCCTTAGCTCACTCGCTGTGAGTCTCAAGCCCTGAACGCAAAATTCATAAACAAAAAACTATATATAAATGTATATGATATGATATGTCCTGTACTATACACATCCTGTGTATTATATTACTATATTGAAAATCAGGTGGTATATCACATGTGTACATTACGATTAAGTTACATTGGGGATCAGGGTTGCCAGGTTTGGGTCAAAGAGGCGATCAGAAGAAACTACAGGGGAGCCCTCTTCATGTTTTGGTTTCAGTCTTCCAGGGTTCCTTCTTGGTAGCTGCGGTCCTGGGGGATTTGTAGCTGCTCTTGGCAACCCTAAACCCTAAACCCTAAACCCTAAACCCTAAACCCTAAACCCTAAACCCTAAATCCTAAATCCCCTACCCATTTTGCACCTGTGAGCCTTCAAACATAACCGTCTGCCACTAGAGGCGCGTAGATGGAGCCACCACTTCCGCGCACCTCTGAACTTCACTGGCAAGTGGGTAGTGAGCTCTTTGGGTTTAGGGGTGAGAAAACAGGGTGCAGGGTTTCGGTGCTACAGGTTGGATACTCCCACCACCCGAGCTTTTGAAGGGTAGGGGAGTATTCTGGGTTAGTGTTTTGGATTCAGGTCTAGGGCCTCGAGTTTCGGATCCGTAAGCCCCATGCCCGTAAACTTTGCTTGACAATCTTTGCTTGAAGGTCCGCGTGAAATGGTACGCACAACGCGACCCCAACTTAGAAAAACAAAACCAAGCAAGAAAAACTCGAACAAGTCTTCAACTACCTTCAAACCTGGTGCTCACACACCGGAAGCCCTAAACTCCAAACATTGGCCCTCCACATTGATGCTTGACGCCAACGCTGGCCCGGTCTGCACCTGGAGCCAGTCATCGGTGATGATGCCGTTGGCTTGCGTCTTGAGGATGTTCCTGGGATGTACGTCATCTTCCCACTGTCGCGGTGATGGACAAGGACGGGTATACTGCTTCTGCTTCCGTCACTCCCACAAGTAGACTACCACCTGCCTGCCAGCTAAGGCTATAGCATACCCACGTCGGTCTACCACCTGCCATGACGCCTGTTTCTGCTCCGTATTCTCATGTGGGGGTTTCCGAAGATAGGGGTACCTTTTTGGGGGGTCCCTTTAAGGAGATTCCATTCTTTTTGGAGGTACCAAAGGGGTATCCCTATTTGGGGAAATCTCAAAACCAGGGGCCCGCAGATACAGAGAGGGTAAGTTGTTATCTATCCAAGCGACTTGTTTAAATCATGCGTAACATTATTTAGTTCAGACAAGCAGCTGCTTGCAGACCAGGGTTATCTCGCTGGCCCTCCAAACTGGGCCGCAAACCATAAAGGGCCCGACCCCCAAGTCTTCAAGCCCCATTTCTCAGCGAAGCCAGGCCAGCCAAGCCACACGTTTCCGTCCGAAACGCCCTCATTGAGCTTGATGAGAGAGTCCTTGGAGATTCAAGTTCAAAAAAACATGAGCGGAGCTGCTTTGAGGCATCTAGTGATCGGCCTCTATCGTGTTGCGGTTCCAGGAGTTGGGATTCAGGGACTAAGGCCCGGCTTTGTGAGATCTTCCCTCCTAGGACTCGTGCTCGAAGCTTACATACCATCAACCTAAGATGGTCATTCTATGCTTGTCAGTGCTTACTTGCATCGACAAGGATGCTCCAGCTGCATGTGTGCCCCCCAAAACCCTACATGCTGTTTTCCAGAAGTTTGTCTAAACCCTACACCCTAAACCCTAAACCCTAAGCCCTAAACCTTAAGCCTTCCTGTGGTGTCCACAATGCAACTCGGGAACAGCTATCAAGGCCAAACTCAAATAGCAACATCATATTCTGTTATTGTGTTATTTCATTACTTTAATGTTCTATTGGCAATTCTATGCTTTCGTATAACTCCTATTAATCCATCAGCACAGCTGGGCTCCTTGAGCTGGCTGGTCAGCTCATTCTGCCGGATTCCCGCCGCCCAAACGACGCCTCTGCCAAGGCATGCGCATAACCCCTAGACCCTGCATTCTGCACTTTGTCAGGGTGTAGGGTGTAGGGTTTGAGGTTGCGATGGTAGTCTTTATACCCTGAAGCCTAAACCCTGCCCCTTCCCCAGCTTCAAAGAGTGTTGCCATCCAGCAGCGCGTATGGTGTCACGCCAAGGATCCCGTTAACTCCGGGTTTAGGGTTTAGGGTTTAGGGTTTCGGGTTTAGGGTTTCGGGTTTAGGGTTTAGGGCTTGAGTCTCTTATTCACCCTCAGAAAGCTCTGATGCTGCGAAGAGCAGGGCAAGGACTGATGACAACCCTAAACGAAAGGGAACCCTGCTACGTAGTTCTAAATGAGGAGCTAGGTACCTGACATCTCCCTCTTCCTCTTAAGGTCACGATATAGGGCCCCTTATTCCACAAATTACCTACCAGTAGTAAGAGGCAGGAAGGATCAAGGGTATTGCTGGGGGCAAGCTCACAAGGCTTCCCTTCTCCACGTAAGCCAGGTAGCATCCATACTCGAGCGACCTCGGGTGTGGCTGTTGATTCAGAAAGACAAAGAGAGAAAGAGAGAGAGAGAGAGAGAGATAAATAAATAAATGAATAAATAAAAAAATAGATAAATAAATATCTATATAGGAGGTTCGCGGTTCGTGGCAATGGTATCCTCACCCCCTCCAACACCCCAAGCCTTAAACCCTACACCTTAAACTCTTTGCCCAAACCCTAAACCCCAAAAACCTCAACCCCAGACCCCAAACCCTAAACCCGAAAACGCAAATTTCGAACCCCAACCCCCAAACCCTGAACCCTAGCATAAACGCTAATCCCAAAAGCTAAATCCCAAACCCGAAACCCAAAACCCTAAACCTCACACCACACCACAGGGGGTTGAGGGGGGGAGGGGGGGGGGGGGGGGGGGCGGGAACTATGGAGGTGGGGGGTGGGGACGGCGTACTCTGAGCATATATACATAAACAAATAAATAAATAAATACAAACAAATAAATAAATAAATATAAATACAAATAAATATATGTATATATACATATACACGTATAGCAAACATAGGTCGATTTGTACATATGCTTGTATATCCCCACAGGCGGGATCTGCGCACGAGGACAGCTTCGCGCCGTTGCGCCGCTGCGCTGCCCTGCTCCGCGACGCCGGTACACCCCGACCATGCGGTTTAGGGTTTAGGGTTTAGGTTTAGGGTTTCGGATTTAGGGTCATGCCGCTGTAGTATTCAGCATATGGGTGGCTGTCCAAATTATGATTCCTTTTGGGGTACCCTAAATATTAGGTGCCCCCAAAGGGAACATGATTTTGACAACCACCCAAATTCATTCATCCTTTCAGGGGCCCTTCTTCGGCGCCCGTCGTCGGTGCCCTTCTTCGGCGCCCTATAAAGAATCAGGAATGTACTGCATCTCCTGCTGGTAGAGTAGAGACCCCACAAGGGGCCCCGAAATCAACGAAAGCCCCCAGAAGTTGGTGCAGCTCGCAACTTCAACCTGTAAAACCTATAAGCCCTATAAACCCCTAAACCCTAGACCCCCAAAACTCCTGAATTTAGCACATCCCAGAAGCAACGCTGGGGATCCAAGACTGATGTTGTATGCTTCTGGGGAGGCCCCCCATCAGATGAGTTGTGCCTTTCGGGGTTTAGGTTTAGGGTTTAGGTTTTTTTTTCTGAAGTTGCTGAGTATTCAGGCTGTAGGGTTGACCCGGAACTTTGCCCTTGACAGCTCAACCCCAAGAGCCTGAGCCAATTCTTAAACTCTCCCAAAGGTGCTGAGGACCCCACATTGACTCCCCGTCCTTCTGCTTCATAAGGATCTCCTGTGTTAAGTATCGGCTTTAGGGGCTGCTTCGAATTTCGGAGCCGCACTTCACCGATCTGTCGATTACGGAGCCGGAGTGGGCCCCTGAACTAAACGCTCAACTCCGCAAGCTCCTCAAACCCCAAACTCCCTCAACCCTCAACTTCTTAATGAAGCTGCAGCCCAAAATCCTAGACCCGAATCCCTAAATCCTATAAACCCAAAAGCCGAAATCCTAAACCCGAAGCCTTAAATCCTAAACCCAAAATCCGAAATCCTAAGCCCAAAACCCTCAATCCTAAACCCTCAACCCCAAAACCCTAAACCAACAACCCTAAAAATACCCGAAGGCTGTCCTTCTTGGTGATCTCTGTGACGCGGTAGCCCGCCATGACTTCCACACCTGGGAAAGGTTGAGTATCAGAGTCTGAAAACCCCTGAACCCTAGTTCTGTAGTAAGGCTGAAGGTTTAGGGTTTAGGGTTTAGGGTTTGGGGTTTAGGGTTTAGGGTTTAGGGTTTAGGGTTGCCCTGCAACCATGCCCAAAATTGTTCATAAGCCAGGGTTCAATGATGAAGCCGTGCTGGAGACGATGTTGCCCATATAAGCCCTAGCCCCCAAGCCCTGCCCTAACCCCAGATAAACCCCACAACCCTAAACCCTACACCCTAAACATGGATCCATCGATTCAGATGGCAGCCCAAACTGCCCTTTCAATTTCTAGCAACTTTCAGGGTTGAGGAATCAGGAAGGTGTCCAGGGGTCTCAGACGACAGGTTTTAGCACTCAACCAGAAAAGAAACCTAAACCCCAAACCCTAAACCCTAAACCCTAAAACCTAAAACCCTAAACCCTAAACCCTAAACCCTGAACCCTGAACCCCAAAAGACTCCCACTGAAGTTCGAAACCCTCTGCCTTTGTCCTCGAAGATCTCGATGCACTTCTGCGAGATGCCACGGTCATAGGTGGACAGCAGGAAGTCGCCTCTCAGCGCGGTGATTGCTTGGCTCAAAGCCATACCTTCAGGATTGGGCTTCGGGTTAGGGTTGAGGGTTTTAGAGGTCCCCCCCTCCGCCCCGCATCTACACCAACAGGCCTTGGTTGGGCCTTGGTTTTTACTTGGTTGGGCCTCATCTTGTTATGATTGCTTTTTTTTTTTGGGGGGGGGGGGGGGGGGGGGGGGGGGGGGGGGGTTGGGGGGGGGGGGGGGGCAGTATCCCACAGAATTCGGACTGCCAGACAGGTATGGGAGTGGGAGTTGTTTGGGGTCTGTAGGGTTTCTAGGGTCTCAAGGGCTCTGAGGTTTCTAAAGCCCTGAACCCTAAACCCTAAACCCTAAATCCTAAACCCGAAACCCTAAACCCGACTTCACCCTCATGGCCTGTGTTGACCAACTTGACGGAGACGTAGTCCATGAGGTTGGGATACAGATCCTTGGGGCAAAGTCGCATGTTGAGCGAAGCAAGGCCTTCCCTCTTCAGGTGGTAGTGGCCGTTCGTAGTAGGTCTTCAGAGGGTGGATGTGAGTTGTACATTGAGCCGACAACACGTGTCCGGGAGCGGACGTCAGTTGGGAAGCACTCCCCCCACCCTTCCCGCCGATCAAACCCCCTGCTTTAGCGGATTTCCCGGAAGGCTTAATCTTCATTGTCTTACCACTCACCACATGCGGGGTGTCTTGCTTTACCACTCCCACATTTGGACCGCCTGGTCTTTATACCTGAGCCTGCGTGTTACAAATTTCCGGCTTGTGTTGCCTCGCCCCTGCGCAGGCCCAGGCCGAGGCGGGTCGCGTAGAGTTAAAATTAGCTCACCGAAATTCCGAATGGAAGAACCCCCGGCCTGAGATTGAGGGAAGCTTCGGGTCTGCGAGCTTAGAGCTGGCCTAAGATTCCCTTTCTAGGTTGCCTAGGAGAAGAAAGGATACGCCTGTCTGCTTGGGCCTCATCGTTTGAAAAAACATTCGAACCATGGTAGTGCTGGGCGTCGTATGTTAAGGATCTAGGATTCCACACATGTCCCAAATCTCAGGTCCATGCGAACCCTTAAACCGAAAAACCCTAAACCCGAAACCCTAAACCCGAAACCCTAAACCCTAAACCCCACTGTGCAGATGGCCACCAGGCTGCTGATGCATCGCCCTCAATGAAGTCTGCCATGTCAGCGGCCACCTGAGCAGAAGTACTAAACCCTCAACGACCCGTATCCCTAAGCCCTAAACCCCACGCGCACCAAAAAAGAACACTAATTTAAGAAACCTACCACTATACAAGACGTTCAAGAAGGAGCTCACTAGGAGCCTAGCTGAATTTGTCTTCTTGTGCAAAGGTCCTAAGCCCTAAATCCTTCCGTCAAGGTAACCAGCACTTGTAGGCTGAACTACCCAGGCAGAGATGTGCATCACAAGAGCAGCCTTTCATTGCAGTTGCTCCCGTTGCTACGCGCAATCTACGATTAGCTTTTTGTGTATAAACATGGCGGAGGAGGTAGACAGACCACAGAAGCAAGCGAACTTGGGAGCTCAGGGTCCACCTCTCCCCGGCTCGAAGGGTATGACTTGCAGCAAGCTTCTTGCAGGATAGGGTTTAGGGTTTAGGGTTTAAGGGTTTAAGGGTTCAAGGGTTCAAGGGTTCAAGGGTTTAAGGGTTTAAGGGTTTAGGGTTTAAGGGTTAGGGTTTATGGATATGGGGTCCACCCCAAGACATCACCAGGCCCTGGTGCATGTCAGACACCCCTTGGCTATGTGAAGGGTTCTATGGGCTTTTCCCTAAAAAATAGAGTTCGGAAGCCTGCCAGACAAGAACTATACCTCAAAAAAACGGTTACCTAATGGCTCCCGAACCCTCAACCAAAAATCGTATGATGGAGCGTTCACAAGTTTCGAGGGCTTAGGGGGGCAGTTTGCGGGTCTAGACCTGCAAGCCCTCCAAAACCAAACGACCCTTTTAACGGGAACGAATATAGGTTTCAGGGCTTAGGGCTTCAGATGCTCCTTCAAAGAGATTTGCAGTGGGCACTCTGGGTAGTAGGGCTTAAGAACCCAAAGCAACAATGCGCTGCCTCCACGCCGGTAGGGCCACCACCAACGACCCTGGGCGGCAAGAATCTGCTAAAAGGAGCCTGACACCCCTTTGCTAATCAAGGACTGGACCAATGCATATATGTATATGTGCATTTCCCAAAATAGGGGAGCCCCCTTCTATACCTCAAAATGACAAGAATCCCTTGAAGGGACCCTCAAAAGGGGACCCCTATTTTCAGAAACCCGAATATATGCATGGATCCTCTATAGACCCAGGAGAAATTTTGGTTTTGAGGGGATTATAAGGGAATAAGGGCCTACTCCGGGTCCGAGTTCTTGTGAGTTAAGTGAAGGCAGATTCCTTCAGGGGCAGGGGGAATCTTTAATACAGTAAGGAAGAGCAGAGGGTCTGTTTTACGAGGCTTCCTTAAACAATCCTTAAACAGCTGGGAGAACAAAGGGCAATCTCGTTTTGCTTGATTGTTCTTGTGTGTACGGACCCGATCCCAGCTGGGTGCCCTGGTTCCACAAGATGCTCTTTTTAAACTGGCACAGGGCATCGGCGAGGTGGCAAGATGGAGCAGGGGGCATGTGGGCACAGCAGTCCTACAAAATGGCCGGTAGCAGACAGGTGGCGCAAAGACGAGACAGCGACTCTCTAGCAATTGACGCAAGCTCCCAAATCAAAGTCCAACCCAGGGAGAGGGACAAGAATCAACGAACCACAAGCCATCCTTATGTCCACACGTCCAAAACCCTATGGAAAAACCCTGAGGAAAAATGAATAAGTAAAATAGTAATAAAACCTCCAAAACCCCAGGGCCAGGATTCAGGCTTTAGGGCTTCAAGTTCCCACGTTTAAGTTTAAGGTTTAGGGTTTAGGGTTTAGGGTTTAGGGTTTAGGGTTTAGGGTTTAGGGTTCAGGGCTTAGGGTAACCCCGAACTGTGGGCTTCCCTGATTCCCTGGTTGCGGACACGGAGCACGAAGGTTAGCCACCTGATGTGGAAGGAACTCTGCACGCTGCACGTTGGCGCTCTGTGATCCAGTTTCAGCTTACATTCTTAGGTTTAGGGTTTAGGGTTTAGGGCTTAGGGTTTAGGGTTTAGGGTTTAGGGTTTAGGGTGTAGGGTAAGGTAGGGTGTAGGGTACCACCCCCGCCCCCCCTCCCCCCCCCCTCCCTCTCGCGCACAAGCCCGAATACTCTGCACTTTTCACAACCTGAAGGCGACACTTCACAACCCTGCAAAGCCTGCACCTTCCACCCAGGACAGCCACCCCGGATGCCAGCGGAAGACAGGTGTCTAGGGTGGGTTCTTCGGTGATTTTATACCGTGGAGTGGAACCGTGTCGCCTCCAGCACGGGCAGCGAGCACGAAGACGGGGTACTTCTTCGTTCAGGTAGGCTTGTATAAGGGATCCTAACCCTAAACGTTGGACGGAGGTGTTCGCACTTTCCTGAAGCCACTCAGCATACCCCAGACTCAAAAACCCACTCACCTTAGTGGGCTCTGGAATATGTCGTAGGTACAGGGTGCCCTCGGGTTTAGGGAAGGGACTCCCCAACCCTAAACCCTACACCCTAAACCATAGACCCTAAACCATAGACCCTAAACCCTAAACCCTTAAACCCCAAAGTGGTCCCCCTGAGTCGACCCGGAGCCTCTTCTTCTGCTCTTCGGTGGAGGTGGGCAAGGAGGCCCTCGCATGCCCAAACAGAATTAGGATTTTGGAGCTTCGGGTCTCACCCGAAACCCTAAACCCTAAACCCTAAACCCTAGACCCTAAACATCCCTAAACCCCCAAAAAACTTGAAGCATCCTTCGGAACCTAGACAAAACCTTGGTCAAACATGCACGTTTTGGTCCAGTCGGGTTTAACTTGCAATTCAGCCGAAAAACATCTCCCACCTTACATGCAACAAAAGCATCGACGGGGACATACAGGCCGATGATGTAGCTCACATAGCTTGCACCCTAGTCTTCGAAAATCTCAGCCCAGAAACTCCAAAGCATCAAGGCGGCACCACACACATGGAGTTGTATTTATGCGAGTCCATCTCCAACTGACTCCATACACTGCAGATGCTTAAAGACAAAACCCGAAGCACGACCAGTTTCTTGGGCTTCCGTTTGATCTCAGCCCTAGCCTTGGGTTGATCTGGCATCCAGTGTCCCCTTTATAAGCAAGTATCTTTCTGCTTGTCAAGCATACAGCACGCGCAGTGTGTAGCATGATGCGGTGTCTTTGCGACATGCAATGCTGCATCAGATAACGTTCCAAACTTCTCATGGCCCCTGGGCCACTGAAAGCTATATGCATGGGGCTACAACCAGCATCAGCCAGCCTTCACCATCCCAGCCCTCAACCCCATCCATGTCTCCAAAGTGGCCTCGTCTGTTTTGAAATCCCCATCACACCCCCAACGCCTCTCGAAGAGGTCCGTCACCTTCTCGCGCACCTGTGGCCGGCTGACGGCTCTGAGGAGGTGTTTATGATTGGTGTTTCGGTTCCGTTCCCATAGCCGGGTGAGGACAGAAACGCTTGAAAGCGATCTGGTATTTTGGAGTCATGTTAAACAACAAGCAAATGTAACTAGTTCTAAAGATTCCAATAGTACGAAGGCACCAAGATTTTGGTGAGGGTCTGATGTTGACCTGCTTGTCCTCAGCTGACAACGTCGTCTGTGATATAGAGTTCAGGGCACGCCTGAGCTGTCAAAAACGTGTTTGAAACCGCACCCCCGACCCCCAAACCACTGCCCTTGACCCACAAAAGCTGCAAAGAACTCTAATACCTAAACGAGAACAGCGTGTGACCTCAGAAACCCTGCCGTTCCTTGCGCGAGTCGGACAGCTCCTTGAAGAAGAAGGCGTGCTCCTGGTTCATGCATCTCAGTGACGACAGAAGTACTGCAAGCCCCAAACCTAAAACCAAAACCCCAAGCCATATAAGGGGGAACATCCCAAGGTAAAACCCTCAACCCAAGCCCTGCTCAGCAGAAAGGCGCGTAGACTCTAAATCCAAAGGTTCATGAGCATCCTTGACGCGTCTACCCCCCCCCCCCCCAGTCGCCAAGATAGCTTATTCCCCCACTAGCCTAGGGACCACAGGGTCTACACTTAGAGCTCTGGGGCTTATTAGAAATCTGAGCCTCCTGTTTCAGGGGGATGCTGGCTAACAAAAAACTACATCGCCACAGTTCCTGGCCCCTCCATTAGTCCCTTCAGCTTAGGTCCTCCACGCCAGGGGTGCGGAAGGTATTCGTCTGCGCGCCGACGCCATAGACCAGGATGTCCTGCACCGTGTATTTAAGTGCCACAGAACCTTGTATACGTCAACCAGAATACGCCCTTGTAGGATAGAGTTCGACACCTACGGATGTAGGGTTCGGCGCTCGTGCAAAGCCCAAAGCCGTCATCACAACCTTGCACCTCAATCACACCAAAGACTCGGCCGATACTGAGCATCTCGGTCAGCATATGCCACGCTCAAGGAAGGGATGTTTAGGGTTTGTAGCCGTTTAAACCCCAGAACAAAAACTCCGAAGCACTTGGTGGCCGGCACCTCCCAGAGTAAATGAACTTTGCCTTATTCGGTAAACCCAAAGAGGTCAAGGACAATTAGGGTTTAGGCTTTAACCTACACCCCAAATCCCTAAACCCTAAAACCTGAAAGCCTTCCTCCCGCCCAACTCCCCGGGTCATAGTTGATGTTGAACTCCATCTTTCGAGGCACATCGTCCTGCGCACTTTGGAAGGGTTTGGAAACGCGTTCACAGAGCCAACCATGGCGGAGATGTGCTGAAGGTTTAGGGTCTTGGGTTTAGAGGAAAGGGTTTAAGGAGTATACGGCTGCTAATGGTTCTATACTCATGGAGCGCAACGTGCATATTCGCTCCACTAGTGTCGGAATGACTGAAACAGCTCCTTCCTCTTGCTTTCATCGATTGAGATTGGGGCGCTGTACATGGCGCTGTGGTCTGCAGGTATGCCGTTTGCCTCGGTCTTTCTGTTTGTTTGTATGTGTGAATTTTAGCAAAGGTATATAGGACTAACATGCAAGGTGTTTCGGATGCTCTTGCAGGGCTTGGCAAGAAGTATGTATAAGCCCTGTAAAACCAAAACCACCCATAAACCTTATGAATCCTAAAGCCCAAAAAACCTACCCGCCTAACCCCCTGAAAAACCACGGAGAGCAAACACCCCAACACCACACAGGAGGACCAACAAGGACCCAACTCCTCAACACAAGGGGGGGCATGGAAGATGAGGGTTAAGGGTTTAGGGTTTAAACCCTAAAACCTAAAACCCGAAACCCGAAACCCTACACGAGCCACAATCCCAAACCCCAAAGCTGCGGACCGTCGGGAAGTGCTCGTAGTCGACGTCGCCCGAGAAGTCAGGGGTACCAGCCCTCGTGCACCTTACAGTCACAGGACCTCATCTAGGGTTCAGGGTTTAGGGCGCCGGTGTCAGCATTTAGGGTTGCTTGTTTAAGGAACGCGCCTTGCGTTGCAATCTGGATCCTCATGTGGCTTGAAGGCGTATTCCTTCATTCACAACACAATTAGAGGAATCCAATACCCCTGATTTAGGGACTCTACCATAACATGCAGTACCATAGGCATCCTGCAATTTCCACAAGTAAGGGGGGCGGAGGTATTGGGCTCGTTGGGCAAGCTGCTCCCCATCCCCAGCGCCAATTCTTTTACGATGTCTTTCTTCGCTGCTTGGAGGTGGAGTGGGAGTTGTGCTTCCAGCCCTTCTCCCAAAGAGTCTCCAAGGAACTGTGTTGAGGATACTACTGAATCAATATGGCTGGCTTGGGGTGGGGGTGGTTAAACTGCCTTCTCTACTGTATGTGTGCGTCACGGGCAGGCAACAATCGACTGATGCGTCTTGCGGCACTTCACCACCTTGTTCTCGATGTCGATCTCTTCGCACTTGGCTTCCAAGAAATCCGCCTGCAAACCCAAACCCGAAACCCTAAACCCCACCCTAAACCCTAAACCCTAAACCCCAAACCCTAAACCCCAAGCTCTCTAAAGGGTAGAGCTGAATGAACCATGGTCCCTCAAATAAAAGGAACTTACCCGAACCCCACCAAACCCGACAGCAAACAAAGCCCTCTCCAAAGGGCCTGCCGAGCCCGGCTAGACTGCATAAGCCCCCAACGTCTGAGCCCTGAACCCTATAGACCCTCTGGGAAGACCCCCAGAAGCCCTGAACCTGTGAACCCTAAACCCTATAGCCCCTATGAACCCTTAACAGCCGCCCTAAACATCTGAACCCTAAACCCTAAACCCTAAACCCTAAACCCTAAACCCTAAACCCTAAACCCTAAACCCTAAACCCTAAACCCTATGGATCCTGTTCGTCCCTTCTGAGCCCTTTAACGCACCCCAGCCTTGCCCTTGATCACGCGCCGGATGGGGGTCACGATGGAGCGCCTGGGTGCGTAGTTCAGGGGGTTTGGGGTCTGGGGTTTAGCGGGTTTTGGGGGTTGCTTCAGGGCATTTATTTAGGGTTACCTAGGGTTATTCAGGGGCTATTTGGTTGTTTCGGGCTACTTAGGGTTGTTCGATACCTTAGAAAGGAGTTGCCCTGTTCAAGTAGAGCCTGAACCCAAAAGCTGAGGACCTCTGAACTCTCACATAAGGTTTAGGGTCTAGGGCCTTGGGCCTAGTCAGGGTTTCAGCCCTCGACCCTAAACCTAGTCCCAGCTGATCAGCAACCCTTCAAAGATGGCCTAACCCTAAACCCTAAACCCTAAACCCTAAACCCTAAACCTTAAACCCTAAACCCTAAACCCAGGCCAAGGAGCTCCTCAATCGAACCCATGGTGCTCGCAGGCAGCAGTGGCGTGTACCTCGGGCAGCGCCCTGAAACCCTCAGACTTCGGGCCTTTAGCCCCTGGTTCTTAGCAGGGAATGAGAGAGAATTAGGGCCCTACATACCCCCTTTAGGGGGTCATATAGGGGTACTCATTCCCTCGTTCCCTACTGAGAAATAGGAAGAACGTCTCTGGATTGGTGTAAACCAAGGCTCTAAGTGCTGCTCAGTACCAAGCAGAGTTACAACTCAGATTACTCAGAATGTATGTGGGAGGTGGAGGGTTGGGGCTCCGCCCGGCTCATAAATACTACAGGGTGGTCCTCTTTGGAGTACACAACGGACTGTCTGTAGGTACTACCCTCAACCCTAAACCCTAAACTCTTTGGGATGCAAGTGCCAACTGACCTCTGAGGACTCTGTTTAGGGCTTAAGTCTCGCAAGACGCGCAACGTGTAGCATCCCTATCTTTCAAAACGCCATACCCCCGCCCCGAGTCCGAACCCCTCAAGTCTAGGCCAGGGGCGAACGGCTTTAGGGTTTGACCCTAGACCCTAAACCCTGAACCGTAGCACCCTAAACCCTAAACCCTAAACCCTAAACCCTAAACCCTAAACCCTAAACCCTAAACCCTAGGGAAGCCAGGTCGCAGGAAGAAGTTCCGTGGCGACACCTCGAGGGTTTCACTTCGCGGCTTTGGCTTCAGAGTCTTTCTTTACGCTGTGCAGGTCAAGCCCACGCCCCCGCTAAACCACCAGGGGTTGAGGGTTCAGGGTTCAGGGCTTAGGGTTGAAACCCCCAAATAATCTACTACTTTATTTTCTTGGATTCTTGGGGGAGGGGGGGGGGGGGGGTTTGGGGGCGAGGTCTGTGGACGCCTATGCTCGATTCCAGAAAGCATGACAATAACACGGCCAGGCGCCTGGTTTATCTAAGGGTAGTTTCATGGGCCCATAATACGGTCCCTTACCTCTTTAAAGGGTTCTGAAGTATGGGCCCTTAAGGGTTGTATAGGGTTTCGGGTTTCGGGTTTGGGGTTGTATAGGGGAACTACATAAGGGGGATGTAGGGTTTAGGGTGCCTTCCGCAGCCCAAGGAAGCCATGGACCTCCAAAAACCCTAAGCCCGAAACCCTAAAAAGTCAAAGCAGAAGATCCCAAGATCCCAGGATGCCCACAACGGAACACATGTGGGGTTTAGGGTTCAGGGTTTAGGGTAAACGGGTAGGGGATCAAAAAACATATTTGTGATCAAAAAACAATTTGCCGAAGGCTTCGAAGGCCTGTCGCAAGCGGAGCGGAGGCTGTAAACGTTCAGAAATGCAGCATTGCTGGCCGTTCGCAAGCTCTGAATACCGAAAAACACAGCAGCTATGCGGGAACTTCTGAAAATAGCAGCATTTCTGAGTTTCTAGGCTGCAGATACTGTATACAGCAGCAGTTCTGTGCTTTCAGAGGCTGCAAATACTGTACCCCGCAGCATTTCTGGGTTTCCAGAGGCTGCAAATGCTGTGAATACCAGCATGTCTGCGCTTTCAGAGGCTGGAAATACCGTCAATAACAGCATTTCTGAGCTTCCAGAGGCTGCAAGTCAATGCTGGCATTGTGGCATTAGAATTTTCAAAAAATGCGTACACTCTGAAAGCAAGCCAGAACGATTAAAGAAAGAGCGGGGGGTTTGGGAGGGGGGGGGGGGGCGCGCGCCCCCCCCCCCCATGCGCAAACACAATGCTCGCATCATGGGTTTCGAAAGTATGCTGAAGCACCTGGCACGACTTAAAATAAAGCGGGGGGTTGGGGGGGGTTCAACCCCGCCCCCCCCCCCCCCCCCCAATTTGCAAACGCAATGCTCGCATCAGAGGCGTCGAAACGACGCGTATGCTTTGAAGCAAGCTGGCACGGCGTTAAAGAAGGGGGGTTGTGGGGGGAGGGGGGGGGGCCCCCATTTGCAAACACAATGCTCGCATAATGGGTTTCGAAACGATGCGTGTGATTTGAAGCAAGCTGGCACGACTTCTTCCGTGCTTTCTTTCTTTTGTTTCGCCTTTCTTTTCACTTTCTTTCTTTCTTGACTTCTTCCTTCCTTCCTTCCTTCCTTCCTTGCCTCCTTGCCTCCTTGCTTCCTTGCTTCCTTGCTTCCTTGCTTCCTTGCTTCCTTGCTTCCTTGCTTCCTTGCTTCCTTGCTTCCTTGCTTCTTTGCTTCTTTGCTTCCTTGCTTCCTTCCTTCCGTCCTTCCTTCCCTCCCTCCCTCCTTCTCACCCTCCCTCCCTCCCCTTCCCTCTCTCCGTCGGAAGAACAGAATAAAGCATTTCTTAATTACAAATATTTTTGTTGATCCAATTTTTTTCACGATCCTATCTTTTTTCCGCATCCCTTAGGGTTTAGAGTTTAGGGTTTAGGGTTTAGGGTTTAGGGTTTAGGGTTCCCTACATAGCTTTTAACAAGGACCCCAATCAAGTGCCCCTCATTTCGGAAACCCACATGTGTATCCCGAGCTGTTCAACATGCATGTCCCCACAGGGACCACTTTCCGTCGTCAGGGCTTCCCCTGCTAAAGGACTCTTATCCCAATGATTCATCCCTGAAACCGCCGGCAAGTACAGGACCTTTAGAACAAGCCCCACAGAATCTGTTGCTTCGGAGCTAGGTACGACTGGCGGGGGGAGCGGGCAGTTTGGTGGCTTATCTTTAGGGTTTGGGGTTTAGGGTGGGGTAGCTAGCACTGTAGGGAACGCAAGCGGCCAAATGGGTTTTGTGCATCCCAAATTGCGCCGGTTATCAGGGTAGGCGACAGAGCTGTGTCGCTTTAGGGTTTCAGGATTGAGGGCCTTGAGAGTTCAGGGCTTTAGGCTTTCAGCTTTGGGGGGAGGAATATCTAGGACCTGCTGGTAGCTCGGGCTTGTAGGCAATGGGTTTCTGGGGTGTGGGCCTACAGCGTTTGCAGTCTGGGGTGCAAGCAGCCCAAATATGCCCTTCGTAAGCCTTCATCCCATACACTCCTCCCTGCATCCATATGGTTGAGACCAAGTATCCACAGTGATGTCATAGTAGTTGGCAACGTCTTCCTGAGCACACAAGGAGGGTTTGATGAAGAAGTACATGTTGCCCCTCATTGGCCGGGTAGAAAGGCTGGAGAGTTTTTCTCTTCCAAATGTGCGTGCGAATGCATCAGGCTAGGCATCTGGATTCGGATTGGAGGACTAGAGCTCGGAGGGCGCGTTGACACTTCGACCCCCAAAGCCCCAAAAGACCCTTAACCCTCGACCCAAACCCTATAAGGCTTCAAGTAGATGTCATTCATGTGACCAAGGCTGTACGACTCAGGTATCCGGAGACACCGTGGAGCAGAGGACCCACCCTGAGCACCCTTCGGATTCCTGAGATGGTTCATGGCTTCGGGTTTAGGGAGTGTGGGCTAGGGCTTAGGGAACATCATGAATAGGCTTCAATAATCCCAAGCACCGGCTCCCAGAAATCCGCATCCCATAGTCAATAGACACTGCTGTGATGGCACGTATTGTTCGTTGGCGAAAATAGAAATCGGACAATGCAGCCCCAGATACGGAGAGGCCCTGGAGAAACGTCACGGAGCCCCAGCCAGTACCGAGGACTACGACCTGCGGCAGGCTTTGGGTTTCCGAAAATGGGGGTACCCTGTTTGGGGGCTCCTGTAAAAGAATTAGATAGTACCTTGTCGGAAATCCCCAGTTGGGGTGTGGTCTACGGAGTCGGTATTTCGGCCTGTGAACCCTTACACACCTAGAGGGTTAAGGGGTTAGGGGTTAGGGGTCCACCGACAAGGAAGCCAAATCAACAAGCAGGTGACCCGCTTCTCAACCCCCAGCAGGTGCCCCCCGCAGTCAAGATGACTAGGAGACTGTTTTGTTTTAGTTTCCCCTCCCCGTCCTTATCAGGCTCCTGTGTAGCAGGGAGCCATAGGGTCCGTAGGTCTATATATTTGTGAGAGCGGACTAGAGTTTAAAGTTTAGTTAGGGCTTAGGATTTATGGAAACCCGAACTCCTCCCCCCCCCCCCCTACAAGAAAAAACGGCAAAAACCCTCAACCTGAACCCCCTAAACCCTAAACCCGCAACCCAAGACCCTTTCAGGGTTAAGGGAGCTGTCAAACTAAGTGAACCCTACATTGGGCGAACCGGGGCCTGCACCCTAAACCCTAAACCCTAAACCCTAAACCCTAAAACCCTAAAACCCTATAACCCTAAACCCTAAACCCTAAACCCTAAACCCGAAACCCTGAGCCCTTGCGAGCCTTGGGCTTTCGGCCGCTTCTATGTTGGGCAGGCCTGGCAGGCTTCGGCTGCGCGACTCAGGGCTTGAAATGAGCGGCTTAGGGCTTACGGTTTAGGGTTTTGGGTTTAGGGCTTAGGGCTTAGGGTTGAGGGTTGAGGGTTTGGGGTTTAGGGCCCTAAACCCCAAGCCCTAAGCCCTAAACTCCAAGCCCTCAAAATCTAAACCCTAACTCCTAAACCCTAAAAACCCTAAACCCTTTAGGGTGCTTTATCCTGAAAGGGGTGCACTGGGAATAAGTCGGCACCACGAGGTTTAGGGTTCAGGGTTCAGGGTTTAGGGTTTGGGGAAGGGGGGGGGGCAGTTGGGGTTTAGGGTTTTCGTTTAAGGTTATAGAGGAGGGAGTTAGGGTTGTGATCACCATGTAGCTTCGTGTGCCGACATCATATAGGAATTGCAAAGTCATTGGCGCCACTGCTCTGACTAACCCTAAACCTTATCCGTGGGCCCTTACCCTCCGACACTGAAGCTGAAACCTCGGCCCAACCCCGCCATCTCCGTAACCCTAAACCCTATAAGCCTTAAACCCTAACAGACCTGAGACCCCAAACCCATTCTTAAGCTTGGGAAACGGCATTGAAAGCGAATCCTGGGGTAAACCTCAGCGGCTTCTCCAACCAAAACCCCGCAAGTCCAGGGTTCGAGGTTTAGAGGCGTGCTTGTCCAGTGTAGGGGGAGCTGGAGGCTAGATTGCTAAGGCCCAAGCCTAAGAACCCCGAAGCTCCCCCCCCCACCCCACAACCCTTCCTCGCCTGCCCTCGGACAGGGTCTTGATGCCTGCAGCCACGCTGGCTGCTCCTGCCCCGGCCGCGACGTACTTCCCGGCCGCTGCGACCTTGGCAGCGGCCGCGGCAGCGGCCACCACAGGGCCCACGGCCTGGACACGGGTGCGGCTGCGCCGGTGCCGGTGGAGGTGTCGGGAGAGGGCCGCCACGGAGCCAGTGAACGCCAGCGCCTTCATGTGGCTGTTTGGGCTGGACTGGCTGGAGCTGGCCTGGCCGTGGGGAAGGGGCTCCGCATGCCTGAGAGCTGCGCTGTGCACCTTGGGTGCGACGGTGTGGTGAAGCGCGGTGAAGCAGGCCGACGGATCCATGCTTCCCACCACAACAGCCCTTTCTAACTCGAAAACAATAAAATTAAATGCTACTTTGAGCCACGCGGTCGGAGCTTAGGACTGCACGGCGGAATCATGGTGGATCCCGCAAGGCTATCAAAACCGCACACCAAAAGCGAATTAAACTTCTCATGCTAGCACGTGACACTTTCATTAGGTGCCCTTACCTGCCGAGCTTATACCGCATGGCCCTGCTTCAACCCAGTGTACCCATGCCCTGCCGATCTCAGTCGTAAGGATCCCTGACACATGGCATTACTCGTGCAGTTTCCCCAGCAAGTAATAGCAAGTAAAGGTCAACCTTTAGGCAGTTCTCTATGGTCCATGTTGGGGCGCTTCTTATGCTATGGCGCCTTGCAATTCGGGTGCATACCCGAAAGAGACCACATGCTAAAGAACTGCCCAAGTACATCATATAGGGAAACTGTCAACCCCCCAAAAAAACTTACTCGACTGATATATTGTTTCTCAATGCTCGCACCCACATGCTTTCCCGGAAATCCGAATATCTACCGTGCGGAACGCGACTCCGCTATCCTCAGCCCCATAGCCCAAGCCCTAAACCCAGTAGACCCCGTTAAGCAGGTTCGGTACTGGGCTGAGTTCAGGGGTCTGGGAAAACAAATGTTTGAAAATGTTGGGGCCCAGATCCTAAACACAAAGCCTAGCCCTGAGCGGGGGGATCCCTGAACCTCGTAATCCCTACACCATCTGAACCTCCTAATGTAAGGCACCAGCGCCAGGTCCCGAATTGCAGCGTCCCTCCAGGTGTCAGAGGTGTTGAGTCTTGGGTGTGGGAGTTCGATGGGTTTAGGGAGTTTACGAGGATCTGAGAGATCCTGCCCTACATGGCCCATGAACGGCCCCGTGTTCAGCTCTGCGTCGTTTTTTGTTTTTGTGTTTTTTTTTTTTTGGGGGGGGGGGGGGAGCTAAAGAGAATGTAACGCAGCGGCCTTAGCTCCTAGCATGACTGCCAGGTTACTTCCTGAATATCAAGAATGAACCGAGCGACACATGCTGTCCCAACTGTCATGATCCTTGTATTGTGGGTTTGGGGGCCTTTCTTCGGAGAGTGTACCAAGATTCGTGGAGACTGGGTGACCGGGTTTGAAATTTTCTGTGTATCGGGCTCGGGGACCTGTAGGGTAGACAGAAAAGACATCTTATGGCAGAGTATGCAGTGTATGGTACATTGTCCATTCAGGTACGTAGTGGCAGGAATCATGGTGGCCAAAACGTGTTGTAGTCTATGGACTGACTTTTGACAGTAGCCGACTCAGTCTTTTTTGACACTGGCGACAAACAGCGTTGCTGTACACGCGACGATGTCCGCCGAGGGCTGCGCCGCTCGCTACCTTCAGCCTTGCCTAAGCCAGCAAGCTCTGTGGTACTCTCGCGTGTCCCAGTCGGACGTAGCAGTGAAGTCGATGATCTTCCTTTTGCAGGCCTTGCACTTGAGCTTCCCTTTGAGGCGCAAGTCCTCAAGGCGCCGCTTCTCCCTGAGCCTGGCCGCCTGCCTAGCGGCTCGTCTTGCGGCGAGCTCCTCTTTGCGGAGCTTCTCCTCCGAGAGCTGTTGCCGCGCCTCTTCCATGTGCCTGCAATCAATCTACAAGAGCCTGGAATGTACTATGAAAAACACATATCATGTACCACAATAAACTCGAACACCAAAATCATGTACGAGTACCAAAAGATGCGCCGCGTGCCTGCAAAGTTCTCGGTGCAGCTCCGCCGTTGCAGAAGTGGAGCCTCTTTCTAGCGAGCGACTCCGGGTCGAAGAGACCGTGCTCAGCGTGTAGTCGATGTCGTCGTCGCGGCCTCCACGGACTTTCATGTTGCGGAGGCAGAGGATATCTGCGTTCTTGTACGAGGCTTCGGATGCCTCCCCCCAGAAATCGACGTGAATGGTCTCGCCATCTTCGCCCAACAACGTGGCCCTTCTGTGCTTCGCATCGTGGCTGCCAAGTTCCAGAACCTCTTGCTCTTCCTAGGCTGCTGTTGGAGGCCCTTTCATTGCGTAAAAGCAGAAGTCTTGATTCATGTACTACTCTAGAACTCAACATCCTCTGAACTTGAAAGTCACGACTTTCGCCAAACTATGCACATGCCAAAAAACTCCCCAAAACACTACAAACCCATAAACAAGAAGAAACAACTGCTTTCCGTGAGCGGTCGAAGTTCCTCCTCGAGGACTGTGCCACGCACGTTGACCAAGCTGCCCTCGGCAATCTGCCCATCAAAGATCTGACCTTGAGTCCCCGAAGCAGAAAAGGCAGATAAGGGTGCCGTTGGGGATTATGGTAAGGGTCACTAAGGGCTAGTGTAAGGTTCAGGGCTCAGGGCTCAGGGTTTATGGCTTCGGGGCTTGGGCTTAGGAGTTTAAGGGTAAGGGTTTGTAGGGCGATAGGAGTCTAAGGCTAAGGGTTTAGGGGTCAGGGCTTGTCCAGGGTTTGGGCTTCGTAGCCCGAGCAAACAAGTCAAGATCATCACAGCCCTCACAGCCCTCAGCCACCACCATCATTAACATGAGCATCATCATCACCGTCTTCGCGCAAAATAAGAACGATGAACAAGTAGTATAATTACAACACCAAGCAGAGCAACGGCCGACAAGAGTAGCGCACGCAGTTGCTCCCTGATGTGTTCTCAGCATGGCAGAAACGATACAAGCAATGGCGATGGTAAAGCAACAGCAGAAAGTAAGATGATAAGAATGACGAGACCATCTAACTGCCGGGCCCTGCTTAAAGCAGCAGGAGCCCCTTAGCCCCGAAAAAAAGGCTGCCTGTTGAGCAGCCGAAAGGCCAAAGGTGACAAAGGTCCAGGCAAGCGGATCCTCAAGTTCCTCGGTGCTGAAGGAAGCCGCACGCAGCGTGAGCTTGCTGAAAGTGAGCTGAACTCCGGAATTGGGGGATGCTGCTTCCTTGGCCACCCCTCCTGAGATCTGGAAGACGTGACCTTGCTCTAGCTGCTCGAAGCCCTCAAGCGCTGCTTGTTGAAAGAAGGCTGCGCGAACCTCTCCAGTCTTGTCGCGTAGCTGGGCTGAGAACCACTTGCCGCCATCTCTGGTCGGCTTCAGTTCCTGATCCTTGCGGACAACTTCGACTTTCAGAGACCATGCCCTTGCACCTGCCCCTGTCGTTGTCAGATCCTTAATCAGAGTAATGCTGTGATGGCTTGCCGCGGCTGCTGGCACGGTCGCCTCTGACGTTGTCAGATGCTTAGTCAAGGTCATGTTGGCAACGTGTGCAGGAGCTGATGGTGCGGCTTCTGTTGATGTCTGGTCCTCAGTCGAGGCGATATTGGCGGCCGGGTTTGCAGCAGGCGAAGTCGCTGACAGCTGCTCCGAGCTTTGCTGGCAAGAAGCTTCAAACCTTGTTGCTGCAAGCTTGGCAGCTTTGCGTGCCAGAGCGACTTCACGACTCCGCTGGGCCCTGGCCCTCTGTTCCACAGTCAGCTTGGCGACACCTTCACCGGAGGAAGCAGCAAGCCTGGCGCTTTTGCGGGCTAAAGCCTGCTCACGCTTTAGCTGGATTCTGGCCCTCTGTTCCGCGGTCAGTTTGCCGGCATCCATTTCCCGGTAGCGGATGCAGAGGATTCGCCAGGCGCTGGCCGGAAGTTAGCCGCCACGGCTTCACGCATAGGGGCATGAGTGTCCACTATGATTAGAACATCTGCAGCCCCTAAACCCTGCACCCTAAACCCCAAACCCTATATACCCTAAACCCTAATCTGCAACCCAGGCCTGCCTTGCAGTTAAGAACCGCTCTACGACAGAGAGTCTCCCAAGAAGCAGCAGCACCCTAAACCCCCTTGAGCCGCTTTTTTGCAAGCCGCAGCACCACCAGACTTTCAGGGATCTGTTTTGAAGGAGACAATGACGGTTGAGGTTGTCTTCAAGCTTGGGCGCAGTTGTGTGGGGTTCAAGGTTAAAACCCTAAAGCCCTACAACCCTACAACCTTACAACCCTAAAACCCTAAAGCTCTAAAGCCCTAAAACGCCAGACCTCTAGACCTTAGCCCTGTGTCAATGATGTCAAGGAGAGGAAGCTTGGAGCCTTCAAGACCGGAGACCACATCGACGAACTGGGCGCCCAAGTCGAGACCCTAAGCCCCAGAAACCTCTTGTGATCCGCACTCCCTGAAGAATCCGCAATGCTATGTTCATTCTTGCCTTCGGGGGGTTGCATACAAAACACATCAGAAAACTTTATGAGGGGATGCTCATTATCCTCTTGGGGTTTGTATATAAAAAAAACACTTCAGAAAAACCAAGGGGGACAATGATGATTTGTTGGTTGCAGGGCTCGGGGGATCTTGGCTGGTCGTTCGAGACGTCAGCGCCGCGCTGCCGACAAGCAAACCGCTGAGGGCCCTGGGTTTAGGGTATCGGGATTGCCCTAAACCCTAAACCCTAAACCCTAAACCCTAAACCCTAAACCCTAAACCCTAAACCCTAAACCCTAAACCCTAATTTGTCAAGCCGGCTTTGGGAGGAGGCTCGTGGCCGCGGCGTTCCGGAAGTGTGGGGCCTACACTGCAGCTTACCCTGGAAGCGCTGAGGTGGAGCTTGGTAGTTGGAAGTTGTCAAAATCGGGTGAGGGTTTAGGGTTTCGGGTTGAGGGTTTAGGCTCTGAAGCTCTTTCCCAACTTGCCCCTGCCACACGGGTCCGTGCCGCAAAGACCACAAACCCTGGCTCGAACACCCTCAACCGCAAACCCTGTCCGCGTCTAAACCGCTCAGGATCCAGTCCATGAGGTTTAATACTTGCCAAAGCACGGCGCCTTCAGCCACAATACTCAGAACATACCCCCCCCACCCCCCACCCCACCCCCCCCCCCACCTTGGGTCGAGGCTTATGGTTTAGGGTTTAATATGCACGTCGTGCCTGTCTGGCAGGGCGGCTTCATGCAAGAGCTCTGGAAGAGCCTGGGAGAGGTGCTTTGAATGATTGGGCCTTCACCTGTAAAGAATGCCAGATGCAGATCTCAGATGCAGCTAGCCACATAATACCTGCAACGGCATGCTTTCATTCACAGATGTATGTGTGCCTGCACATACTAGCTACGAAGAGGGTAGCTATCCCGAGGGCCACAAGTAACCCGAAGCCCTAAAACCCATATTAACCTCCAGAGGGAGGGTCGAAGGCTCTTCTTCTTTAGTCGACTCCGACCTCCCGAATATTACACCCACCCGCCCCAAGATAGTGAGGGTTTAGGGTTTAGGGTTTAGGGTTTAGGGTTTAGGGTTTAGGGTTTAGGGTTTAGGTTTTTGTAACAAAGGGGCTGTAGCCTATAGCCCAAACCTGTAAGGGCCCCCCAGCTTGCTTTCAGAGGGAGGGGTGCAATAATTGTAACTGTACTTGGGGGGGGGTGGAGGAGCTCGTTGATGCTTACGGCCCTGGGGTGCCCCAAACCTTCGTCATCCTACGTGCCCCAAACCTTGATGGCCATATGCAGATCTCAAAGTCTAGTGTTTAGGGGCCGCAAGGCGGGGTTTGTGGGTTTGGGGTGTCTTACCTCTGCAGCCGATCCACAGTTGACCAACCCGCCGATGCGACACACGTCCTCTCTACTTATGGGTCCCTGCGACTTACCGTCGGAGGCTAATCCCAAATACCAAACCCTGCTTTACCGGCGGGGGATGTCAACTGAAAATACCGACAGCCACCGGAAACAAAAAAAGAAAAGCAGCAACAAAAAAAAAAACGTGTGCCTCCTCGGTGGGGGTGAAGTCCTGAGAGATTTGATCTCTAGGGCTTAAGGCTTAGAGGCTTAGGGATTGAGGGGCTTAGGGACTTAGGCTCGGGGGGGGGGGGGGGGGCTTGGGGTTCAAGGGGGGGGGGGGGGGGTTGGGTGAGCTTCAGGGCATCCAAGAGTTTGCAAGGGCTTCGTCAGGACTTTTTTCAGGTTTAGGGTTTAGGGTTTAGGGTTTAGGGTTTAGGGTTTAGGGTTTAGGGTAGCTGTGGGCTGGCCTCAGAAAGCACGCGCTCCAGGAGGACGGTAGCCGCGCCTCGAGGATTCAGGATTTCAATGCAAGCGTGCCCCATGAAGGAAGAGGGCTTAGGTTTAGGGTTCAGGGTTTTGCGGTTTTGGGCCCCTTGACTAGGGTTGTAGCTGAAGACCCGAGCACACTAAAAGCGTGCTGCCCGCGAGCTGGTAGAGGGGCCTCGTGCGCTAGGGCATAGGGCACAGGGTTTTAGGGTTGGGGTGGTTTTAGCTTTGAGGCTTGTGATGCAGAACTCAAGGTTCAGGTGTGAAAGCCTAGACCCGAAAGCCAACACAACGGTTTTTTCTGCAGGGTTGCCTGGCTCTTTGAAGCTTCAGGCGGCTGGAGTATATAAGTTGGGATGTTCCCCCCCTTATACCAACATTCCTTAATAGGACTTATAGAAGGGGGGTGGTACTATAATCCCACTAAGGACTGTTAGTAAAAGGGGTGAACATCCCACCAAAATAAGGTTTATTGAGGGTAGGGTTCCTCAGGTTTCGGGTCGCTCCCCACACGCCAAACCCTAAAAAACCGAAACCCGGAACCCGAAACCCTATAACCCTCAAACCCTAAACCCTGAACCCTGCACCTTTAGGGCATATAGACCCTACATCCCAATCCCTAAACCCTGAGCCCGTGGGTTTAGGCATAGGGATCAATGAACCCCCCTCCCCCCCCCCCGCCCCCGCCCAGCATGAAGGATTGCTTCATGGCACGTCGATATAAGCAGAAACATGTCTACCTTAGCTACGGCAGCTAATGCTATCCATGCACTCACACTCTTTTCCGTTTCCGTGACTGGGACTTTCGGTTCTCCGCCTCCTTGCTGTGGTCCCTTCCGGGAAATGACGAGTTAGGTGTCAGCACGCCCAAACCCTGAAACCTGAATCAACAAAACCTGGGTAAGTCCAAAACCCTAAACCCTCAAACCCTGAGCCCTAAACCCTAAACCCTAAACCCTAACAATGCTCAGTTCCCAGGACGGGCCTGTGGTGATGCTCAGGTGCTCCCCCAAGAGGATCGGGGGCACAGCGACGCCTGGAGTTAGTTCTTCCCAGCTTTGCGCTTTAGGGCCTTTAGGGGCTTTTAAAAGTATTTAGGGTATTTTAGGGTATTTAGGGCTTTTAGGGGTATTTAGGGGCTTTTTAGGGGTACTTAGGGGTATGGGGGGGTATTTAGGGTATTTAGGGTATTTAGGGTATTCAGTGCATTCAGGGGTATTTAGGGTTCTTAGGGTTTTTAGGGTGTTTAGGGTTTTTTCGGGTATTTAGGGTATTTAGGGCATGTAAGGTATTTGGGGTATTTAGGGCATTTGAGGTATTTGGGGTATTTGGGGTATTTAGGGTTTAGGGGTCTTTAGGGTTTAGGGTTATGTAGGGTTCAGGGTATTTAGGGTTTAAGGTGAAGACTTAGGGCTTCGGGTTTATTTTGGGTTTGGGTCCGAACAGCTTATTTTCTGAGCAGACATCGGGAAAACGCAGGGTTTCGGGTTTCCGCAGAAAAGCAAGAAGTAGTCGAGACGCCCTCTTAGCCCTAAGCCTCCAACTCCAGAAAGCTTTTGGCCCTGGGCTTGGGATGAGGGGTTTAGGGTTCAGGGTTCAGGGTTTGGGGATTGGGGTCCAGACTTGCTCTGCAAGAGGCATGTGGGATTAGGGTCTTCAGTTGTTCTACAAGTGGCACCATCAACCCTAAACCCCCAAACCAAAGAAACACAAAAAAACGATGCAGCTCAAGGTGTTCAGGTTATAGACAGTGTTCACCCATGCAGACGAGGCCTGAAAGTGTCTATGGCCATCTGCCATCATGAGTTTTTCGGAATTGAACAATGCACAGGACACAGGGTATACACAAAATCTCATAGGCTTTGCGGCTTTATGGTGTGCCTTCCTGAGATTATAGTATCCTGCCGGTGTCGGAACTGAAACCCCGTTGCGAAAATCATAGCACATGGGTTTAAGGCAACATCTCCCGGAGGCCAAGCGAGTATAGGACATCATGATCCCGATCTTCGGGTTCCCGTTGGACTTGAAGGACATGATCGCGGCACATCACTCCCGTTTTGGTTAGGGTTCCGGGTTTAGGTTGTTTTGGTTAGAGTTCTTGGTTAGAGTTCAGGGATCTTTGGGTTTAGGTTTGGGGTGTAGGGTTTAGGGTTTAGGTTTAGGGTTTAGGGTGCCACTTGTGAGTGCCGCCGCACCACAAACCTCCTTCTAAGTCGACAAACAGAATCCTGTTGAGGTTGGGCTGTATATGGCTTTGGCTACCTGCTTGATCCCCAGACTCTGAACAGCCTAAACCCTAAGTCCTGAACTCTTTATAGCCGCTCGCGAACCTCCTAGCAGGGTGACAGTTTCAGACCCGGTTTAGATTTATGTCTCCTGCGGACTCAGCCCCGCAAGTCTAAAGATGTTGCCGGGTTGTCGCACTCAGGGGTTGACTGCCCCTCACCGCAAGCCCTAAACCCGAAACGCCAAACCCCAAGAGTGAGCAAGACGAATGGGGCTGAGAGCTTCGCCGGCGTGGCCCTCTGTGGAGAACAGGGTGGAGATATCTTCCTCTGGTTTAGGATTTAGGGTTTAGGG